TGTAATTAAAAAATACAGAATTTAGGTATTTTAATTAAATTGTAGTATTTTTTTCTGAATGTTCATGATAATTATTTAAATTGTTTATATCATTTAAAATATTTTTATTTTAATATAAATTTAAAATACTCTAATAAAATTTGATTAAAACAACAAAATTTACACATTTTTAAAATGGAAACTAAATTGAATCAAAATATATTTAATCTTTTATTTTTTAAATTTGAAAATAAAAATAAGCCAGAGACATAAATAAATTTGAATTCTTTCGTAAACATATTTAATTTTTTAATTAATTATCTGCACTATTAAAAAATATTTATTTTCAATTTATAGATTAAGAAAAAGAAATCTAAAGCTCTACATTTTTTTATTATCTATTTTGCCTTCACTGTTTTACTTTCCAAAGTGTAAAGTTGTTCTTTCGGCCTTTTCTCATATAATCTCTATCTACAACTGGAAATAGTCAATAAATAAAGAGAGCTGACAAAAATAATTAAAATGATAGAAATGTTTCTATGAAAATTATTGCAAAAGGAACAATTACACGCGATGATGTGATTGTATGCCGGGGGGGTTATTATGGTTGTTGTTACTCTATGAAATCATACGCGTGTCAAATTCGTTTACCTTTTGGTCATAAAGGCATAGTGGTCATTTTAGATTTTCTACTTTATTAAAAAATTAATCACCATAAAAACCAAACAAATTTAATATTAAAAAAATACAAACACATTCAATAAAACAAGATATTTGTAGGAGCAAAGAGATTCACTGGAAAATTTAGATGATTCTAGAATATCCATTTATCTAGGTTGCTTTCTAAAACTCAGGTCAACTTCTCTTGCACAAACTTTCTAGCGTGTCCCGCAAAACATCATAGATAATCATTATTTATGCAGAAGGGAAAAACAAGATCATCATCATCGATAATAATTAAGAACAGAAGAGCACAACAAACAGATCCAATTCTGCCTATCAATTAAATCTGTAGTGAAGAAGAAACGACTCACCGTTCTGGTTGAAATTCTCACAATCGAATCCACATCCACACTGAGGGCTCTCCGAAAAGCTGTCGGCGCTAAAACCGGCAGATGCAACGCCGGCAGAGAATTTGAGGTCATCACCGTCGCGAGTGACCTCAGAGATTGGGATCCACAGCACCTCAATTTTCACGCTAACACCTTTCAGCTTCGACAGCTTCCCCTTCGAGATCACGCCCTTGATGGTGGACTTGTACTTTAGGTCATACGATTGTACGCTGAAATAGCATGTTTGCTCCAGATACGCAGTGAAGTGGCCGTTTTTTTCGTTTAGCTCGTACTCTGTCACACCTTTGGGAAGAAGACCCACTGGAAGGCCATATTTCTCAAGAACGTCGTACGCTGATATTTATTCTGACAGGAAACATAGGCATAAGCCAGTATGCAAAGAAGTATCATCGAACACCCAGTGTCATTTTTGTAGGGAGCCCGAGTTTTTTAGCGTGGTGGAGGGAGAATGGGGAGATTGAAGTGTCGTGCCAAGATGGGAGGAACAAATACTAAATGAAATTAATAAACCAATCGCCAACTTAATAATGTAGTTATTTTATATCAAGTTTTTGTCCTACTCGGTATATAATAAGGTTAATACATATTAACGGCTGCAACTCGGCGAAGCACGTGATTCACCAAATGAAAAAACAAAACCTCGGGTACCACGTGCATTGTACTAAAACGGAATAGAATATGCTGCAGCTGCACCTAGGGGGCTAATAATAACTTATTTTTTGTTAATTAAAATGTAATTATTAAAACACCAGTCAGATAAATACAATAAATGCATTAGAAGTTGTGATGTGGAATGCTGTGTTAAAATTAATATGGAGATTTAAAACTAGTTTTGAAAATTCGTTTTCGTAAATTCAATCCATCATAGCGAAATGTTCTGGTGAAACATTGTAAGATTTTACATATGACTTGATTAACTTGTTCTTTCCAGTGTTTGGATGACATTGAGTTTTGGACATTTCTTCTTCAAATTTAAAAGAAACTCATTAATTAGTATTTACAGATATATATTTTGTAAGTTAGCTCTAACTTATAATAGATATTTTCTATGACATTTTTTTAATCCTTTCAATGTTAACATAACATGGTTTTGATTTAACTATTCCAAAAGACACAAATGCCCTACACTTATCTAATTTATTCTTTCAAAAAGCTTATATGATATATCTCTAGAATTTGTAGTAAACTCTTTCTCTTATGTATATATTAAGTAGTTAATTATAATTATTAATACACATCCGCTATGATAAAAATAAGGCTTCTATTTTTTTAGAAAAACAATGTTTGAACACGTCATTAGTCATGCAAGGTTGTTCTTTCCACCATCATGTTTATCTCCTTTGCTCGTATTATGTTTCAGACTCTCAACGAATATGAATATGTATAAATCTCACTTAGACCATATAAATCTCTCTCTCTCTCTATATATAATGTTTGAATTTGATGTAAAATATCATTAATATAGGAGACATGATATTTATTTAGTAAGAAAGTGTGTTAAACTTTTCTCACGTGCGCTTTAAACACGTATCGAAAACAAAGTCCGAATTATTGTTTAAACTTACTTTGACACAAACGTTATTTTAGTCTATATTGACTAAATATTTTTTCGTCCAATTCTAGCTTCTGTATTTTTATTATAAAAACTCTGAATCTTAGATGCCATTCTAGAGTGGTTTGGAACTTAATGACCAAGTTTAACAATAAAACCAATACAAACTTCTAATAATAATTATATATAAGAGTTAGAGAAGTAGAAACAAGTGTTGCTGGGAGATAAAGAAAAGATGATTAAATGTAAAAACGTGGAGTCACTTGTACGGATAATTTTTGTAAAAATAATTCATTTAGTGGAGAGAATTTGCTTAAATTATAAAAAATAAATTATTAATGTATAAATAAATTTTGGAGACTAATTGAATAAGCCCTAGCTAATTATTTCTTTCAATTTTAAAAGCCGCCTCCTTTAAAATTATCATAACACGCATATCAACAGTCATAATGTTTCACAAGCAATGTTTTACATCTGATACTCACAACTTGAAAGAATATTTGATATTTTATAATCTATATTCCCAAAAAATTCAGTAAAATAAAATTACGGATAACCCAGTTAGTTTTGATTCAATTTCACTACTATATCTAACTAGTAAGGTGTGAATACAAGTTTCGAGTGCTTGATTTCCTAATGTGCACAGAGTATTCAATCGCAGATTTGAAGCAGACTGGAATGTCTAACCCAAGGTTTGTTTGAAATTAGAAAAGCTACTTCGGTGGTACAAGAGGTTTTGACTAATTGTGTCGTAATTTGTCAAGTTTTTCAAGATAGGGAACATTCTTTTGTTTTTCTTCCTTGTATACATGTTTCTGTCTGAGATGAGGAGCCCAAAGGCGAAAGAAGATCTGTAACAAAATGCAACCCAAGAAGAAATGACCATCAATCATACAAATGGCCCATATTCTCAAACAGGTAATAGCTTCCTTTTGCTTCTTTTGAACATCAATTATGTTTGAAGACAACAAACAAAATATGAAAATGAAATTGAAATTAAGAACCTCTCGTCAAGAAAAAAAACATAAATACATAAAAAATACGAACAATATCTCCAACTTTAATAGCCAAACAAACATTATAGATAAAACTTCTTTCTAGAGTGGCTCTAGACAAAGAATTGCAACCAAAAAGAAACTTTCCAATTCAACCAAATCAAATGGAGAAACTATGATCCTTTTTTGAAGAAATAATCAACATGGTCTCTCAAATATGACCTTTTTTCCTAAATAATCTTAAGGAAGTACATTATATAATTAATTCCTTACGTATTAAATATAAAATAATTTAATTATTATCCAAATATATTTTACTAGGGTGATGAACTAATTTGAAGATTTCTCATTTTAATTTCCAATACTTAAATAATTATTTATATAATTATTTTACTTTAACGACTATTCAGGAGACAGATCAATCCTTTAAGGACTATTCTATAATTTTGAAATGTCAACCATAGAAAAGTATGCACAACCAGTCTTTGACTATTTCAAGTCATGTTTTAATATTTATTCAACAGGGTCTACCTTTGGCACAATTTATAATTTTACCCAATTTAATCTAACAGTCATTGGATTTTATATATCTAATTTAATCTTAACTATGGACATTTATATCAAATCTGTCCTTTTTAATGTTATAAAGAGCTCAGCATTACAATAAGATGGCGGTTGAACAGATAATGAAAATACAGATGATAAATTAAAATCAAAGTGGCACTCTTCAAATATAACCTTGAACACAACACAGAGATACAAAGACAAGATAGCAGAGAAAACGTAGAAACAGCTGCCCACTAGTGTGCATTTGGTGTATGTTTCAAATTTGTCTAGAACGGTGTCAAGTCAAGGTGCTGCCATCTTTACGAAAAGTGTCATGGTTCATTCATTGTGTGTTTAGGGCACAATGCAACTCGGTGAACAGCATACTTCAATATGGCTCAGCCAGCAATTTGGTGTCCAGTATATTCAGTTGTGTTGTGCAGCTAATATTCAATACTATATTACTATATGCAATAGATTAATTAAAGACAATACGCAAACAAATTCTGTTTGCATCACTTCACAACCTCAATTAAATTGTTTTAATTAGACTGGGATTTACTTTTTCAACAGGTCAAGAGCTTCTTTAATTCAATTGGTTAAGGATTTAGATATAATATCTAAATTATGCGTTGGGTTTAAAGGTTTCTTTCCAAAATTGGTGTCTTTTATAGACCCACATTCGATCATTAGTAAAACCTACAATCATGACAATAGGATTGGAAAAATAACCTCGTATCAATTTCAAAACCTAAGGGCCAAGGCTATCAATCGTGCTTTAGAAAGCAATGTGTGGATCAATGCCACTTCAATAATCTCAAAACTTATCTACCATTGGCCAAAGTTGAAGAAGCAATAGAGGCTAAGCAAGCCATTGTGGTCTATGGTGCCACCATAACAAGAATCCCTTCACAAATTGCCACTGGCGGAGGGGTAGACAAATGCCATGTTATTGTTATGGTGGCCGTACTATGGTTATTTAACAACACTGTGTGATACAATACAAGGCTAAGGCCGATGAACAGAGAGACAAATGCCAAGGCAATGATTATGACATTTCAATAATCTGAGCTAATTTAACAGGAGTTCCATTCATCTAGACCTAAATCAATGAAAGTTGAAAGAACACAAGGAGCTACTCAGGAAAATAAAGCATCATGTTACAACATTAAAGACAGTTTAGCAGACAAGTGGGATACAGTTCATAACAGATACAACAAAATGACATGGAAGTATTTTAATGAAATCCAAAAAAATAAAGAACATAACAATTATACATTTCAAACAGATATTTGGGAAAATCTTAAAATGGATTTCGAAAAGTGATAGCCTGACCTTAAACCAAATAAATTTATCAACAACTCACTATTAAATAATTCTTAGTCAAGATGGACTAGAGACAACAACAAGAAAAAGTACCTTACATACAGCTATAGACTTAATCAGCTAACATCCTTAAGTCTTTTTATCAACGTATCCAACGATTTCCTTTTCGGATTCTGCCTGGCCCCACGACTACCAAAGGTTCCAAAGAGCCGATCTGAAGGATCCCTCAACTTTTCTGAAACAATCACCACTTTCTTGTGGTCCAAAGTGTTGTAACTCCTCTCCCTTATCACTGGGTTCAAGAAGTTCTCTGGATGATTACTCAATAGCAAATTAATCAGTTGCTTTGAACTGGTAAGTGATGCTTTCAAAACATCAACATCCCCATCAGAGAAAAGAGAGGCCTGATTATCAGCAAATGATTCTAAGAGCCGAATATCTACTTCAATTCCATTAATAGCATTGACATTAAACCTTTTAACAGAATCACTGACTAAAGTCCCAACTATCTTGTCGGATATGTGAGCAAAAACTTCTTGCAATACTCTCTTAAGGACTTGAGATGGCAATATCTGTTGAGCTGTTGAAACCAAAATTTCTAAATAAATTATAACCTCATTTACATATTCATTTCCACTCTGAGGTGCCTCATCACACATCCAATTTACATTCTCGATCAAGGTCATAAATCCATCAACCTTGGCTTTGAGTAGCCCAGAGAGCATCTCTTCTGCAGCATCACGAGCTTTTCTTAGGGGAAACTGCCTTCTGCTTCTCTCCACCATTCTCAAGGGAACACCCGAAAGCTGTGCAGCATGGCGAAAGAAAAAATCACAAGCACGCTCCAAGACAGCCATATTCGCTGCCATTTGCATTGCCTGGGAGACACCACTAATCGAGGTATTGATAAGCTTCACTAAAGCTTCATCCAAAACCTCAATCAAAAGCCTGTCTAAATATTTCTTAACAACTTCATAGAACTCAAGCTGCCCGCCATAAGACATGAAACTCACAGAATCCTCAATGAATGACCGTACAATCCGACAACAATCTGGCACAGTGGTCGAAAAGGGGGCAACATAGGGAAAAGCTGGTATGATATCAGTAGTCTGTATCTGGAAAGAAAGCACATTCATGGAATACTCATACTCTTTTTTCATCAGCATTTGCTCAAATTTATCAGCCGCAACCGCCTCCGCAATCTGCTTCCTACAATCAGACAAAAGAAGTTCGTGGTACTTATCCCTGTGTTTGCTCAAAACTTCAAGCAACGCATCAATGGGGTACCCGTATCGTCGCAGGGTTACCCCTAACAGACTCACATAATCCTTAATAAGCAAAAGATGATTAGCAGTTTGCATTCTGGAGAACTGATCCTCCAACACTGAACACATCTTACTAACAGCAATCTCCCACAGATTCTCAACCTCCAATTTTGAAATCAACCCACCTCCGGTTCTGAACACGCGATCCTCCACCACAAAGAACCCTGCAATCTGCGCAAAGAACGTTTGATGCGACTCCAGAAAAGGAGTCATCGACGAGACCTGAAAGTCCGAAGTCAACTGAAGCTTCCGGTTCTCGAAATAATACCGCTTAAACCGATCCTCTAACCCTAAAGTCTGATGAATATGGTATGCCCTGTACAACGAAGTCAATTCAAACCCGGCGACTCCACCGCCGTCTTCGCCGATCCCGCCAGCGATAATTTCGTCTTCTTCCTCTTCCTCTAAAGCGTATATACAGTCCCTCACGCTGAGTCTACTCTGTTCCTCCGCTTGGCGCTGCTTAATTCTTAGATCCTCTTCTCTCTGCCTCGCTGACGAGGCTTGACCTATCGCCAATTGACCTAAATTGCGACTCACGACTCGGATCTCCACCAACCAGTCCCCAAACTCCTTGTTCACCTTCCTTTCGATGTACGATCGAATCTCTGGAATCTTCTTCTCCAGCATCCGCTTCAGCGTGGATGACTCCGTTTTATCCAAATACTCCCGCTCGATCGCGTCCACGCACTTCAGTGCCATGTAGAAGTTGTCGTCCGCGAGGTGGCGGTTGGCGCGCGTGCAAACCTCCATCAGCTTAACGCAAGTGCGGATGGAGTCGATGGCGAGGTTCACGTTCTTCGAGACGTTCCGCGTCTCGACGAAGGCGTCGAGAGACGACAGGAGCGGGCGCGCAACGGACTGGAGCCGCGAGTTGGAATCGAAGAGGGAGGACTTCAGCGAATCGACGTCTGATAGGAGGGATCGTAGATCGTCAACGGCGAGGATAAAGTCCTGGTAGTGAGCCTTGCACACTTCCTCAATCTCGGACTCCTTCACACGCGCAAAGTGACGGAGGTGGTGGTGGAGCGTCTCTGGCTTTCCGGAGGCGAAGGCCTTGCGGATGAACGGGCCTATGTCCTCATTGTTGCAGATGGCGGAGGACAAGAGAAGCTGGTCCAGTTTGTCAGCGGACTCATCTCCGTTCGCCGGAACAATTTTCCGACGCGGTGGTTTGGAGGAAAGCATCGTCGTCGTTGTGCCCGTGGCAGGAGGAGAAAATTTAGGGATTCAGAAATTTTTCGGACACTTCATTAGAGTCGTCGGAAGTCTTGAGTTTTGGGTATTCCGTAATCTTTTGGGGTATTTCGGTAATTGAACTGAAAAATAAAAAGTCTTTATTTCATTCATACTTGTCATATGAAATTGTAAATGATTATTAAATAATTAAATATTAAAAAATTAGCTTTATGCATGTGTGGTGGGTGCAACCACTGTTAACCTAATTATATGATTCGACTTCTATTGTATGTTTTTTAAATGACAGTTATCTATGTCAGGACACCTTTTTAACTGTTTTTAGTATATGAATTTATTGTGTAATTTTATCTTTACTTATAGCATTTTTATTTTTAATACTATTTTTATTTTGGTAGCTCTCTTTTTCAATTTTGAAGAACAATGTAAATGTCTTCTGTCTACAAATGCAAAATACCAATTTTGCATGTTCTCGTAAATAAATTCTTATTTCTAGGAGTTGTGTGTTTTTCAAATTAATTAAAATTTATTTCAGGCTGTCTGTGTATATAAACCTCAAATTAATCAATTAATCATCAAAATAGCATTGTTTTCAAATTATACGATTTATCACATCACTTTTTTTTTTCGTCTTACTTTTCATCTCTCTGTTTGATATAGTTTGGATATATATCCACACCATCATTGAGTTGATACACATCTGACATTCCTCAACGCAATGAATGTATGAACGAGGGATGATTGAATACAGCTTGTCAAATGGTTGACAGCTTATTTGATCTCATGTATTCTTTTGTGTAAAAAAATAAACATATACATTATATTTAATAGTATAAGTTTTGTTTTTTTTAAATTGTAATGAATGGTAATTTCCAAATACAGCCTCTATTTTTTTGAAATGCCGTCTACACTAAGAAAATACGGTTAAAAACAAGTTGCAAGACGGAATGTCTCTACTCTTACAAGAAATGGGTGAAAGCAGAAGTCCATATACGATTCTGTTTACAAAATAGTAATTCGTGGATATAGAAAATTGTATTTGCTAAATTTCATTTTATGTTAAAATTGAAGATTTTTTTTTTTTAAATTATAATACTGATTGCATATTCAAATAGACAAAGAATGAATAATTTGCAAAAGAAAATTATAGATATATAAGAATGTTTACATTACGTTTATGTAGATATGCAGATGTGTTAAATTACTTCATTTATTTTTTATATATTGTCTTCGATGATAAAAAATGTTATATAAATATTTATAAGACATGATAAAATATTTAATGACATTTGAAGTAATTATACACACACACACACACACATATATATATATATATATATATATAAATGATACACATTTGATTTGATGTACACTTTTATTTTTCTCCTTTTACACTTAATAATACGATTCTTAACTTTTGTTAAGGACAATTATATAAAAATATTATTTTTTAAGTTATATTCCACTTTTTCATTATTTTTTTAAATTTCATTCTTCGTTATTGTTTTGGTAAGTTGAAAATATGGAAAAATATATTTACAAATAAAGAGAGACACAAAGTGAAAATTAAAATTGAAAATAAAACTAAACTTCAATGTAATTTAGAAAGATTTAAAAAATATTACGTTATCAAATTAAATGACAATAAAATACACGTTAAACGATGTTCAGATATGAAAATTACAAACACAAGAACATGAAGAACAGATTAAAAGTTCACTGTAAATAAACTATTATAAATCTACACAGAAACCGATTAAGAAAAAAGAATCAACTACGAGTTGTATTTTGAATTAAAAAAAATTACTAAAAATTATTTATGTTTTATTTGATAATACTTTCATAATTCGTTTTTTTTTCATTTTTATAATTTAGTTACTTTTACTAATTTAAAACTCTTATTACTAACACAAAATAATTAAAAAAGCCTTTCTTTTTAAGAAAACATTTTAATAAAATTGGATTGAGACGTAGGACAAAAATAGAAAACAACGGATCACAAGTTAAATATATTTTGAATATTTATATATTTAAATTATCTAACATTTTAAAATTAAACTATTACGTTCCTTAAACTATTGATACAGCTATAAATTGATATAATCAAAATTTGTTTTGATTAGTTTAAAACATATAATAATTGATTAGTTTCATCTTGTTAGTTAACTTTAAATAATTAAACCAATATTAATTAACTATTTGAAATTTATGTAATCAATAGTAATTATTTAATTTAATTGTCATTTAATTTGTAATGATTATAAAACTACATTGTCTAAAATTAATTTAAATAGTTAATCATTTAATTAGGAAATTCATATTTATATTATGAATTATTTTTTACAAAATTTTATTTATACGAATATGCTATAAATTTTAAACAAAACAAATTAATGTTATTAATTAATTTAAATTAAAACAAACTAACGTGGATACATATGACAGTAGACTGTGTTCTTTAACCAAGAATTCAAACTTTAATATAATCATGTTGGCATGAAATAATTCTCTTATAAAAAGTAAACAATATTTAATTGTTAAAATAAATGAGATTTTTTCTTAAAATGAGTAAAAACCACTTATTTTTAAAATAACCAGGTTAGACAAATACATAAAAATATTTATTTATTGTACAAGTGCCTAAAAAAACACAATGAAAGTGATATCTATAACAATATACAAAGCAAAAGAGTGTAATATAATTGAGAATTAAATAAGAAATATGATAATAAAATATAGAAAATACAAAATTTCATTTTAGAAATAAGTTCATAAAAAAAATAATAAGGTTTGGGATTCGCTAAACGGGTCGTGCGCGTAACCCGAATTGAGTCTGGGCTTTTAACTTTGCGAAAAAGTGATAAATAAATTCATCAGACCCTCTCCAAAACCCTAGCACAAATTTTTCCTTGGTGACGGCATCAGCAGCAGCGTCGGCGGCGAGAAGCTACATTCGCAATGGTACATTTCTCAAAGCTGTTACAATCCATTAGAAAGTTTCTCTGACTTTGTGTTGAACTGAATTACAGGGGATCGATTTGAAGGCAGGAGGTAAGTCCAAAAAGACCAAGCGAACCGCCCCAAAATCCGATGATATTTACCTCAAGCTCCTCGTCAAGGTACCTTTTTATTTTTTTCCTGCATGACTGTGAACGAACGAACAAGGGTTTTGGATTTGAAATGTTCGCCATGTTTTTAGTTGTACCGTTTTCTTGTTCGGAGGACTGGGAGTAATTTCAATGCCGTCATTCTCAAGCGTCTTTTCATGAGCAAGGTCAACAAGCCTCCGCTATCCCTCTCCAGATTGATCCGTTACACCAAGGGAAAGGTTGAAACCTATCTCTTCTCTTCATTCGTTCCATTTAATCGTTATTTTTTTTCTCATTTGAGGTCACAAGCAAATTGGCGTTGATGTCTTGGTATTTATTTCATTAGGAGGATAAGATAGCTGTGGTCGTTGGGGCCGTGACCGATGATATTCGTGTGTACGAGGTGCCTGCTCTGAAGGTAGCAGCACTGAGGTTCACTGAAACTGCCAGAGCTAGAATTGAGAAAGTTGGCGGGGAATGTCTCACCTTTGATCAACTGGCTCTTAGAGCTCCTCTCGGCCAAAACACGGTATGATTATACTATTTCTCTTTCCGTGTATTTTTCTATGAAATGTAAGATTTAATTATCGGTCTAGTTCTCACGAGTTCAGACAGTAGGGACTGAAAGAGATTAAAATGGTATGTATAGAAACTAGAAAGGATTAAAATGAAAATTGTGTTTAGGGATTAAAATTAATGATTTTTATACATAGGGATCAAATTGTGTAGTATGTATAACTATAAGAAGCAAATGAGTAATTAAACCCACATAAAGTTGTTAGCACAAGTAGTTTGGCATTTTGGTTCTTTAACCAAGGTATGGGATTCAATCTGTGTCTTGGGTATGGAGTCGCAACTAGATTGGTATGAAGTTCATCTAAATAGGTTTTAAGGCTCTACTTAACCTTTGTTAGGTTTTATGTCATAATTGCTATGCTCTTAGTAGTTTAGAAGCTTTGCTTACGGGACCAAAGAATAGCAATGACTCTAATTAGTAAACTTCACATCACTATATTTTATCGTAGTAAAACTTCTGTTGCCCTTTAGTTTTGGCTGCTAAACAAATTAGCAATTTTTGTATAGTGACATAAAGTTTACTAATCAGTATCGTTTTTGTTTGGGGATCCAGTATTCTTGCTCTTTCATCTTTATTATTGGAGGAAGAAAAAAATAATAATGCAAAGTCTGCCTTTTCCTTGCCAGGGGGGGGGGAAGGGTTATGGAGGGTGTATCTCAGAAGCTTACCTTTGTTTTTGAATGGTGTTTCAGGTTCTTCTTAGAGGTCCTAAGAATGCTCGCGAGGCCGTCAAGCACTTTGGACCGGCTCCTGGTGTGCCCCATAGCCACACCAAGCCCTATGTCCGTTCAAAGGGACGGAAATTTGAGCGGGCCAGAGGGAGAAGGAATAGCAGAGGCTTTAGAGTTTGAGTTTTGTAGCTCAAACATGAAGGAATTTTCCTCTTACCTTGTGATCATTATGTATTGTTTTCTCGTGTTTTTTGAACAATCGTTAATTTTAGTTTTTACTTCTCCTTCCAAGGGAAAAATATTGAAGCTCCTTCCCCGAACAATTTTGTTCTAGCAAACTACTTTTGAGAGGATTAATGAGTAATTATTTGCCTACTTAAGATGTGTTTACGGCAGGATCTCTACTGATCTTTGTTTTATGACGCCCGTATTTTACTCCTGCTAAGGAGGAGTTTAGTTTTGAATATATTCATAGGTGTTGCAATTTGGTCTCAAATTCTCTAGCACGATTTAAGCACGATTTTTTAAGAATGTTAAAAACCATTTCAGTAATATAATCCCAGTTGACTGAATGTTTTGCTGGTGAAAGAGTTCAAATCTCAGTTGATACCAGAGGAACATTTTTCTTTCCATGACATGACATTGAAAAAGTAGGGAAACTTTCAAATCAAATTCAACTTAAGTATCGGGGTTTCGTTTGATACGTTATATTGTATCACATTGTTGCTTGAGAACAAATAATGACTATATATATCAAATTAAAAGAGGAATTAAGTTTACTCTTGTTATTGGAACTTTATTATTAGAACGTACTTTAGTCTGTTTAGTATATTACTAAATAAGATTTTTTTGTGGATTACGAATTGTAAGAGGTTTTAATTTTTCGTTACAGCGCATTTAAATACACAGAAGGGAGGGGTTATTATTTACTGTTATACCTCGTCTTGTTAGAAGTTCAAACTTGGTGAACTAACAATCTAGCTTTCGGGAAACGTTTAAACATCATTGAGGCACATTTTTGTTCTGTGTTGTATGCTTTTGGATACTATAACATCCCTTTGCAATATTTCAAACAGATTCCTTAACAAAAGCTGTGCGAACTGAAAGATAACTTAGCTTTTGATAGTATTAGTTCATCGATCTGAAACATTTTTCTTGAACTATACTGCCATTTCAACCCCATTTTATTTTGACACTGTTACTGCAATTGTCAGTCGCTAGGGGGTGGGGGTTGGGTTTTAATTTGCGTTTGAGTTCTTTCACATAATATACTTGTGCAAGGATTAAAATTTCTTGATGAAGTCGTATATATGTGCGCTGATCTCTTCTGGCCTTTCCTCATTTATAAAGTGAGCTACTCCTTCCATCACGACCAATTCTTGCAAAAACGGTACGTCTCTCTTAAAGCCACCATTATGTATATACTCCTTCACACCTGGAGTGTTATATGTAATGTCAAGGTCTCCCACAATAAACTTGACCGGTACCTTAATCTGTACTCTAGTCCATGCTGCCGTGAGCTCCCAGGTTCTGCACACAAAACGAAATTTACCTTACCAGACTACAAACACATCCTTCAACGAACTAATTATTTTCTGAACTCTTTAATTGTACATGCATACATACAGTTCTACAAACCAGGTTCAGTCACTGCATCTGAAGTAACTTATTAAAGCAATTCCTAAAAATTAAGCTAAATTGCTATTGAAGATTGAAAATAAACATAAAAATACTCTCACCTACTCTTCCATGTCATTTTCTTCTTATGTCTCTTTGTTTTCCACAGTAACACTTTCGAAATCTGACATTTTCTCTTAAAATTTAAAACTTAGGATAGGACCTAACTGAGCCCAACAAAAGCGGCTGTAAGGTGTCTAACCAAACCTTGTATTACCCATATCTTTAATAGACGTGGGATCTCACACCCTAGGCCTACGATTAGATGTCGAAGCGTGAAACATGTAGGTGACCACCACCCACAGCTAGGAATAAACATCTAGATTCTAGAGCACATACATAGTCAAATAAGAAGAACATACCCAATAATCGAATTTAAACAATAGACATTGGTCATGTTTATTGTTGGGGGAGAGCTCAACATGCTCTCTCTCATTCATCAATTTTTTTGTTCCTTTTTTTCTTTCATTCTATACACCCCGTGTGGATACGTATATCAGTGTTCTAAATATTAATAATTGGGAACAATATATTCATAATCAGTTCAAGATCATTTGAAGTCACGTATACTAAAATAATTATTTCAGTCACATGTACAAAATAGGAGCTTGAACTATATACGAGGAACCAGAAGAAACTCACAGGTCCATGGCGCGATAGTAGTTGAGCCCACCAGTGAAACCTTTCTGTTCAAATTTGCTAGCATAATAATTGACGTCTTCTTCAGACAGCCACGATGGTAGAGCAACATGAAGGTCAGGTGAACCACCAAATCCTATCTCTTTAGGCACACTGGGTGGACGTGGATCACGAGAAACAAGAAAATTCTTTATTATCCTCGCAGCACCAGCACGAGCAAATTCCTCTTCAACCTCCCCAGGTTTCTGCAGCACGACAAAATATCAAAGCTCTACACATTAACTTCACTCGTATCTTTGAAATTTGTGAAGATAAGGAGGAGTTGACTGAGTGGATTCATTTTACCTGAAACCTGCAGATATAGTAATCATCGCCCATCATGGCCCTTAAGCTCTGAATGGGCTTTCGTTTAGGGTTCCTGGGGCGGAACACGACACTCATGTTGACTAGGGCTTTCACACGATCGGGCCTCAACAAGCAGAAATACCAGGCTACGGAAGCCCCCCAGTCATGACCCACCAAAAACACTTGGTCGATGCCCAGAGCATCGAGAAGCCCAACGAGGTCGGCCACGATGTGGAGGGCGGAGTAAGAAGAAGCGGAGGGCGGGGCGTCGGTGTCACCGTAGCCGCGGAGGTCGGGGGCGATTGCTCGGTAGCCCACGGCCGAGAGCGACAGAAGCTGGTGACGCCACGTGTACCATAGTTCCGGGAAGCCGTGGAGGAACAGAACCACTGGGCCTGACCCAATTGATGCCACGTGCATATTTATTCCATTGGTACTCACCATTCTGTGCTCTATTTTCTCCATTTCTTTCTCTTCACTCTATCTTTCTCAATTTTTCTACTTCAAATGGTGTTGCAGGGAATTTAGGTAAGTGGAGAATGAGAAGATAATTTTTCTTTTCCTTTTCGAAATGATTTTGCGTGTAATGATGTAATCCAAGACGATCCAATTCTACCTTTCAAATCTGATTCCAAAATTCTCCGCGGCTCTCAAAGTCAAGAAATCATGCCTCTACTCACTGATCCAGATAAGTGTAATTTTAATATTATTTTTTATATTAATTTGTGAGTGTAATTCTTGTAAATTAATCTATGAAAATACTTTTTAAAATTAATTTATCATTTACTAAATAAGTGATAATTCGTTGATTACTTTCTTTACAGAATATGTGATTAGAGTGTTGATACATCACAAACAATATTCATATTCCATGAATTTTTCCCAAATTTCATATTTTTTTGTTAGGGTTTCTTTGAAGAAAATGAGAAAGTTAATATTTAAACACAGCAACTTGGAAAATATTTAGTGACCTATTTTCTTGCTTAAAAATAAATTTAATTTACTACTTTTCAGAATTGAATATCACTAAGTAATGTTTAAGAAACATATTAGCAGAACTAGAAGATGTAAATGACAATTGCTTTCTTAGATGGGCTAGCTCATTTATTCGTTTGGATTGGGAGGCCCAAAACTTGACACAATGACAACCTTGTAAAAGAGGCGAATTTCACAGTACGTAGTGGTATCATTAGTTTTATAGCAGTATCTAAAAATGATATTTTTAACTACTGTTTTGTTTTATTGCTAAGATTTTCGACAGTATAGGAGACAAAGGTGCATAAATCACCAACGTAACAAGACTGATTGACATATAATCCTATATTCCTTAGAGATTCCATTTTAGATTTATCGATATCTGGAAAAGATATTTGTTGACAGCTATGATCTATTTTAAGAAACTAGTTTCAAAGATGCATTGTAGTTTCCACAAATATCAAAGACAGCATCTGCTAATTTGGAGCATTATAATAGTTTATAGCAAAACAATAGTGGGAATGGAATAATTGAAATGCCTTTTTTCAGTTAGTAGATGTTTCGGTTCCGAATTGGCCACTGGCACAATCATGGTGTGGGGTGGGGGATCTCACTGCATGAACAAAATGAGTCGTGTTACAAACACATTAGTGCACCATCTTTCATTATCTTGGAGAATCAGAATCCAAAAAGACTCTCACACTCTCACTTCACATTTGCTCCCTTGCTTTTTACTTTACATTCTGCCTTTTCTGCACTTTCTCATCCAAATTCTAACGAATACACATTTTGGTTTCTCTGTGGAATCTCAATCATAATCAGTAAATTATAAAAAATGCTTCAAAGTTTTCTTTTTTCTTTTTTCCTGAAAATTGTGACTTTCCAGCCAAACGGTGCACTGAATCATAAGGAACTTTTGTAGCAAGCTTGATCAGTGGCAGTGATTTTTTTTTATGATTTGTATTTAGTGACATTCCCATAGATTCTGATCCAACCCCAGTGGATTGGATCATCCTGTTGTCTATATTATGTTGTTTTTAAGTAGAGGAGTATCTACAACTGGCAGATAAATTTGCAGAATTTGGCTTTATACTTTGGAACCACGTTTCTGTGTGAAATTCTCAAGTATTGAGTCTTCATTTACAAGCATTCACTGATTGCATTGAATTTTACCTGTACCAAATTCGATTCTTGTACTCTAGAAGGCGGAAAGCAGAAAACGAGCTATGCTATTAGTTCTAAGATTAGAAAAAGGAATTGGTGTTTCAGAATATGGCAAGACCTGAAATTTTATTCTGCATATTTAGTATCTGATTGTGCGTCTGACATATTATTGCTTGTAAAATAATCTAGCTGCAAAAAAGAAAATGACAGGAGTTTTATTTAAAGCTAAATCCACTAGTTAATATTGGACAGTGTGTTACATTTTGTCAGTATGCGCAGCAAGAGGCACACAGAGTATTTGACGAGGATTAGAACAAATTGATGTTTTGAAAATATTATTTTGGTGCTGCATTATTATTGGGTTTGAAAAGAATAGTTGGATTAACACTACTTGTATTTGGTTATCTTTTGTTAACTACATGTGGTTTGAAAGCAATCAAATCGACTGAAAAGATTTGGAATGCTCACTGAAGTGCCCATTCATTTGTGGTTTTCTAGCAAATGCGCCAAGCAACAACTTGTGCTTTCTTTAATCCCTTTTTCTTCTTGTCCCACACCTTGGATTTGTTTTTCATTTTTC